ATCCATATATATATGTCTATCTTACCTGCTATGTGTATTTCATATATATATATATATATATATATATATTATTAGGGGAATAATCATTGCAATAAACTTATGTTATGTGGCTAAAAGTGAATATAATTATTTATATATTTGGCAAAATGTTACTAAAAAATATCATTACTATTCAATAACTCATAGCATCATATATTTGTTTGGTGACTTACTTTAACCTATGTTTCACAATAAATTAAGGGAATCCTTAATAAAATATGAACTTCAAAGTCATTTCCATGTTGTCTCATAAATTTTATAAGTTCTTTGGGTTCAATTCAAACTAACGTCTTATGAGTCATTCAAGGAATCCTTGCTTAAATGTGGAATACTAATTAATTGCCATTTTGGATTCAAATGGGCATTAAGCTAAGGCATTAGGAGGCAAGATGAAGGCTTGGTTATGTGTTTAAGATGTATAACAACTTTAACTTTTCTGAAGATCTATCGGATGAATTATGAATTAGACATTAATAATATATAATTAAAATCATAGCAATCGTATAAAAGACATAGATGACCTTATTGCTACTAATGTTGTTGAGCACAATAACTGCCACCATCTATGTTTTTAACATATGTAATCATCCATAACATGATCGCTGCCATAATTTTCAAACTTGGTTTCCGTGACATTTTTTGAGCTATATATTTCAAGCAACACAAATCATGCTTTTCAAAGAAGTAATGGTAATATATGATAACTTTTGTCAACTTTTGCTTTACACAATAAAACATTCACCACTTTTAAATACCATAAAAAATTTTGATTTAACGCAGTGCATACCATTATTAATGCCTATGTTCCACGTTTTGTTGTGCTGACAAATGAAACACATCCTAAGTTTCAGCATTTGAATAATCTCCCAAATTTTTTTAGGAGGTTTGTAGGGTACATATTTTAAGTTCATAAGTGAGGATACATAAAAATTTTCATGATATATATCTCCATCTTATTATATATAAAGGCCATAAGGACTCTATGGCAATAAAAAAAAAAAAATTATGGTGTATTTTCCTTTGTTTTGTGAGAGATTAAATCCTAACTTTTCTAAATAGTGCAATAAGGCAAAAACAGAAAAAGAAAAAGAAAAAATAATTACTGCTTATTAGCACACCCTCCGTGCAAGTGTCACTATATGTGAAAAAACTTGCATACGTAAGACGTACGCAGCGCTGCGTATGTTTTGGATGTTATACAGAGGGTATAAGGGGTTATATCCGCGTTATATCCCCTTGTAACCTCCATGTAACCCTCTATAACCTACCTGTAACCTACAAATAAGTTTCGCGCTTCTGTTTTCATATATTAAAAACTTATTTTTAGGTTACAGGTAGGTTACAGAAAGTTACATGGAAGTTACATGAGAATATAAACAGATACAATTGCTTTATACTTATATAATCTCGAAAACGTACGCAATGCTGCGTATGTTTTACACACGCGAATTTTTTTTCCCACCATATGGAGACATCATTCGATGTTGCACAACTCATTGTTAGCTATCTAGTACACTTTTTTATAAATTAATTAAAGCATAATGGGATAATTTTTTCTTAACGAAGGGTAATTATTGCTGTTGTGGTAGCGTTTCGATAGTGATCACTTCACAATCATCATAAAAGCACCAAAAATGTATGCTGATTGTTTTTTCTCTTCTAAATGGGTGGAATTGCCGTTTCAATATCCTGAAGCCATCTACGCTGGACTTGATGGCCATCATGGTAGTGGAATAATGTTCCATGATAGGCTATCTGAGATATAAAAAAAATTGCTTGTACGAATAACTAAAATAATTTTTTTTTTTTTAATTCTGAACTAGGCTGACTGATTTATAAAAAAATATAATATGAAATTTCAAGTAGGTCTCTAAATCAATAAACATCATTCTTTTCAAAATGTTTTAATTTAGGAGTATTTATCCAGTTTTGTTAAAAACATTATAAGCAACAAGTAGTTCTATTAAAGTTGGACGTTAACTTTCCTTTTATGCATAGGTGGAGAATTAAATTGATTGTTATCTCGTTTAAAAAATTTCGATAAATTAGCGTGTACTGAAAAAAATTTTCCAAATCAAAGCATGAAATAGTGGTTAGTTATTAATAATTTCCGTAGAGCTAAACAACCTTGTACGAATCTTGCACAATACACGTCAGAAACGCCCTCAAGAACAAGATAACGTGGTATTGAAGGCCACATTAGGCAACAACATCACGAAACATTATTTTAATAGGGAATGGTTATTTTAAGGAAAATAGGATAAATAGTGATTAAATTGGCATGCATACATAGAGTTTAACCAATTTTTTATTTTAGTTTTATAAAAGCGTTGATCACTAACCAATGAAGTTCTAAATATAGTTTTTTGAAAGTAGCTCCTATTTTAATAGTTTAAAAAAAATAATTTTAATTATTAATTTCAATCAAAACTGTCTATCTATCTATCTATCAATATATTTTTTTTTGATAGAAGGAGCATGAGTCGGCTCCCTACATGTTGATAAGAAGTGAAGTTACAAAAAAGGTTGGTTGGGAAGGTCCCCAAACTAGAAAAAAAAATACAAAGTTACTCACTCATAAGGGGTATCCCAACCGCAGAAACAGACACTCATTGCAGCAAAAGGGGATTATATATACATGCACATATATACATATATTCTCCAACAAAACAAACTAAAGAAAGCAGAAAATACAAGTAAACCCCCAAACAAGACAAAACATCTAAGAAACAAGTAGCACAGCCTCAATGGAAGACCAGCACTAATCATGGCCACAAAACAATGGTCCCAGCATTAATTTTTGCACTCTTAGGTAAGGAATTTGGAGTTTGTCCCCCTGAGTTAATAGGTGAGGGGGGGGGGGGGGGGGGGAAGATTGGGAGAGCCCCTTAGCTTCCCTATACACAAAAGAGAAATGAATCTTACTATCAAGACTAAACTTTTTAATCTTGTGAATCCACTGACTAATATGTCAAGGGGAAGACATCTTAATGTTCAGCAGCTCCACCAGCAGGGAGGAGTCCACTTCAGCAACAATCTACTTCCACTTATTCTCCTTAGCAAATTTTAATGCCCAATATAGGGCAGCAGCTTCAGTGTCCAAGGCATCTTCAGCAATATAAGGGGCCTTATAGAAAAGCAAGGTATGCCCTGCGTGATCTCTAAAATTCCCCCAATACCTGCTCTCTTGTTTGTGTAGGTTCCATCTGTATTGATTTTAATGAATGGGTAAGGAGGTCTCTCCCATCTAACCTTGATGATCTTAATATTATTAGCAACCATGGAGGGTATAGTCTGTAGGATCTTAGGGATCTTCCTCCAACTTATCAGCTTATTTAGATAAGACAAGCAATTGATCATCGCCCTTGTAGTGCTGGCCTCCCTCTCCTCATGTTTGGCCATGTTCCTAGACATCCAGATGAACCAAGCAACAATGAAGGGAATTGGCATGAGGTTAATCTCTTGCCAATCTTTAATACAATCTATAATGTTATCCCAACAATACTTATCAGGTTAATATTCATTTGGGAGGTCAATCTATACCAAACCTCCTTAGCAAATTTGCACCTGAAAAATAAGTGATCCCTGGAATCCTAGTCGAGCTTACATAGGTGGCATCTAGAAGGCCCTTTCAGGCCTTTTAGTTTCAGGATATCATCAGTAGGAAGTAAATTATTAAGAGCTCTCCAAGAAAAGAATAGTATGAAAGGGGTAAGGTGTTTTTGGCAAGAGGAAAAATTCCACTGGCAGGTGTTCCAGCTGTACAATTTATTTTGGATATCCTTTGAAATACTAGCCTTGGTTTTGTTCTTCAAGTTAAGATGATCCTTGTTATTTCTATCAAATTGGATAGCAGAAATGGAGCTGACAGGCTGATCCTTCAGTATACTCTGCAAAATGTCCTCAGACCAAACATTACTATTCCAACAGTCCTTGACCAGTAGATCCCCCTCCTTATCATCCTCTAAAGGTTCCAAATAGTTAGTAGGACACCAAATTTTGGAATCTTCCACCTTCCTAGTGACCTCCCCAGGGTGATCAAATTTGCAGCATTTCGCCTGCATGAACTTGGTCGATAAGCTTTCATTTTGTCTAAATTTAATCCAAAGCTTGCCCAGACTGATGTGTTGCATCTGGTGCAAACCTTTAAATCCTAAGTCACCAGCCTCCCAGGGTTTAGCCACTTTTTGCCAGCCTGCCCAAGCCACTTGTTTCCTGTTCCCAGCCCAAAGAAACCTGTTGAATATTCTTTCCAGCATCAAAGAGGTGCTTCTTTTCATTGTAGCCACTTGGAGAACATACAAAGGAGGGATATAGGTAGGAATGCTCTTAAGGAGGGTGATCCTACCACCATTGGACAAATAAGAGTTAGACCACCCCTGAAGAGTAGAGATTATCTTATCAATAACCTCATCAAATTGAATCAACTTTGTTCTTCCTCTCATCAAGTGAATCCCCAGATATTTGAAAGGGAGGTTCAAGTTAGAGAAACCAGTGTAAGAGTATATCCATTGTTTGGTTGGTAGAGAGGCTCTTTTACTGATCAGAATCTCAAATTTATCATTGTTTACCTTTAGACCAGACATTTGTTGGAAGTGTTGAAGGCACTCCATAATGGACTTGGTAGCAGACTTAGTAGCCCTAGTAAACACTAGAATGTCATCAACATAGATCAGATGGCTGATATCCATCTTAGCTCTATTGTGATATGTGTTAAAACTTTTTCTATTCTCCTTGCAATCAAT